TTGTTGGTTGCGCCAAAATTATAATAAAATTTAAAAGACTGATGCTTGCGACGTTACAAGGAATATCAAAATCTGGGGTAAATTGTCCAACGGATTTCGGATTAATGAAGCCTAGGATAATGAGGCTCACTTTCTTTTACGTTATATAACCTAAAATGAGGCTCACTTTCCTGTACGTTATATAACCTAAACTGAGGCTCACTTTCCTGTACGTTATATAACCTAAATGAGGCTCACTTTCCTGTACGTTATATAACCTAAATGAGGCTCACTTTCCTGTACGTTATATAACCTAAATGAGGCTCACTTTCCTGTACGTTATATAACCTAAATGAGGCTCACTTTCCTGTACGTTATATAACCTAAATGAGGCTCACTTTCCTGTACGTTATATAACCTAAATGAGGCTCACTTTCCTGTACGTTATATAACCTAAATGAGGCTCACTTTCCTGTACGTTATATAACCTAAATGAGGCTCACTTTCCTGTACGTTATATAACCTAAATGAGGCTCACTTTCCTGTACGTTATATAACCTAAATGAGGCTCACTTTCCTGTACGTTATATAACCTAAATGAGGCTCACTTTCCTGTACGTTATATAACCTAAATGAGGCTCACTTTCCTGTACGTTATATAACCTAAATGAGGCTCACTTTCCTGTACGTTATATAACCTAAATGAGGCTCACTTTCTTTTACGTTATATAACCTAAACTGAGGCTCACTTTCCTGTACGTTATATAACCTAAAATGAGGCTCACTTTCCTGTACGTTATATAACCTAAAATGAGGCTCACTTTCATTTACGTTATATAACCTAAATGAGGCTCACTTTCCTGTACGGTATATAACCTAAAATGAGGCTCACTTTCCTGTACGTTATATAACCTAAAATGAGGCTCACTTTCCTGTACGTTATATAACCTAAAATGAGGCTCACTTTCCTGTACGTTATATAACCTAAAATGAGGCTCACTTTCCTGTACGTTATATAACCTAAAATGAGACTCACTTTCCTGTACGTTATATAACCTAAAATGAGGCTCACTTTCCTGTACGTTATATAACCTAAAATGAGGCTCACTTTCTTGTATGTTTTATAACCTAAAATGAGGCTCACTTTCTTGTATGTTTTATAACCTAAAATGAGACTCACTTTCTTGTATGTTTTATAACCTAAAATGAGGCTCACTTTCTATGTTGTTAGACAGAATATAACCAAGATTCCGGACAGAGGATGTAAACTGTATGTCAGAGTGACCTACTTGAAATGAGTTGGGGAGAGCTGTGTTAGATGATGATTTGTGATCGTGAATGAGGAGTGCTTCATTTTTGTCATGGTAAAAATTCAACTTGCTCAGTGTCATCCATGAATTGTCATCACCGATGCTCTCCCACAAAGTCCGGACAGAGGAATCGACAAGAGATGGTTATGGTTGTATAGCTGCGTGTCATCTGCAAATGACTGGTTCTCAAGAGCATACCTCCCGAGCAAGAGGAGCAGTGGTCTGGTATACATAGTGAATAGAATCGGGCCCAAAACGGACCCATGTGACACTCCATACACCAAGTCAGCACTGCCGGAGAGACAGCCATCGACAGCGAACGCCTTCGTCCTATCGGAGAGGTAGGACCTAAACCAAGCCAAAGTAATTGTCATGTTTTTTATAGGGTTTCATTGGTTATTGAACAACAGACTATATCCTGAAACCTTAAAACACGACCTTCTAGATTATTCTAGAGAGTGAGGATGATTCAGATTAAATTTAAACAGAAGTGATAATCTTTCAGATGTCATAAGATATTCGAGAAAACTTTTCATTTAACTGTTTCTTTAATCTTCAAAGCGTCTGTACAAATGTGACCCGTATTCAGTCGATATGGCTCTTGATTCCATTAGACACCTTTATATTGTTAAAGCAAGGAACTTGGGCCTCCACGAAAAACCTAAAACAACTGAAAATCATGGGCTCTATGATGTATCGCCACTGTCATTTCGCCATCGCCTTTTCGCCTCCACCATTCTGCCACTGCCATTTAGCCGGTGCTGTTGGTCTGACGCCATTTTGCTGATGTCAGTTCACTGTCACCACTTTGCCGACGTTGGTAAAGAAATTATTTAGGAAGAAAAGGTGATAATTTGAATACATATTTGATTATAAAAATGTTGACGTTTTAAGAAGATCTATGTGTGTAAGGGGTCTCAAACTCGCGGCCGGCGGGCCATTTGACGGTCTCACTCAGAACACACTCTACCTTGCGGCCCCCATATATTTTGAGTTTGAGACCCCTGATCTATGTAAACTTCAAAGTTTGTTTGTGAGTTTTTGTTTTATTTTTATTTTGTTGTCGCCCGACTCTTGAATACAAATTGTGGGCCACTTAAAAACCTGTAAACATTCGCAATATTTTGCACAATTGTCGATGCAATCAAGCGATCAAGACTGCAACACACTGCCTATTAAACAGAGACGTACCGGTTTTATGTGGTCCATCAAGATTATGAGAGATTATATCAAACTAATTCATCTCAGTATATTTAAATATGCTTCAACATTTAATTTATCACTTGTTAAATGGCAATAATTTTTTTTTTTTATATCTTTGTCAGTTAAACGACCGGTGGTGAAATGGAGGCTGTGAATGTTCCCATGGCCTGAAATTCCGAAATCACAGGAGAGTCACAGCAAGGAAAAAAGCTGGCATATAACCGTACCTCAGTTACTATATGTTTTTACATAAATTGTTCGCGATATAAATAAAAAGAACTCCTGAATTAGGCAACACGTATAAAATGATCAGATAAACATATGAAAGTGCACATATGCATGGAGAGAGATATTGCTTTAAAATAAGAGGCGGAGGTCGGAACTGTCAATGTGATCGGAGTTGGGATGGGGAAAAAGGAAGCGAAGGCTCCCTGATGAAAATGGTTGATAAATTTAACATTAATTGATGCATTTTGGCGCTTACCTGAATTTAGTTGTTTATTTACCATTATATACTTAATGGGAGTCCAATAAAAGAGATTTACATGTAACTGATTTTGTTCGTTCATTTCCCAAACAATCTGCTGCTTGTATTCGGTATTATTATGCATGCTAGTCATTACACAGTCTATCATAATGCTGCTTACAAAAATATTATTATAACACATAATCTTATAGCACTGCATACACCAGTTGCAATTATGATGCAGTATGCCATAGCACTATATACAATGACAGGAATCATGAAAATAATATCATAGCAACGAAAATGCAACCACACTTATCATGAGATTTTATCATTGCATTAAATACAACAACACCATTCTATTTAGACAAATATTTAGACTACTTCATAGCACTACTGAAAACAACAACTTATTATGAAGTATTATTGCGTAAATTATATTTCATAGTACCACATACAACAACACTAATCATGACGTACATCATTTCATAGCACCACATACAACAACACTAATCATGACGTAGATCATTTCATAGCACTACATACAACAACACTAATCATGACGCAGATCATTTCATAGCACTACATACAACAACACTAATCATGACGTAGATCATTTCATAGCACTACATACAACAACACTAATCATGACGTAGATCATTTCATAGCACTACATTCAACAACACTAATCATGACGTAGATCATTTCATAGCACTACATTCAACAACACTAATCATGACGTAGATCATTTCATAGCACTACATACAAAACACTAATCATGACGTAGATCATTTCATAGCACCACATACAACAACACTAATCATGACGTAGATCATTTCATAGCACTACATACAACAACACTAATCATGACGTAGATCATTTCATAGCACTACATTCAACAACACTAATCATGACGTAGATCATTTCATAGCACTACATTCAACAAAACTAATCATGACGTAGATCATTTCATAGCACTACATTCAACAACACTAATCATGACGTAGATCATTTCATAGCACTACATTCAACAACACTAATCATGACGTAGATAATTTCATAGCACTACATTCAACAACACTAATCATGACGTAGATCATTTCATAGCACTACATACAACAACACTAATCATGACGTAGATCATTTCATAGCACTACATACAACAACACTAATCATGACGTAGATCATTTCATAGCACTACATTCAACAACACTAATCATGACATAGATCATTTCATAGCACTACATACAACAACACTAATCATGACGTAGATCATTTCATAGCACTACATTCAACAACACTAATCATGACGTAGATCATTTCATATCACTACATACAAAACACTAATCATGACGTAGATCATTTCATAACACCACATACAACAACACTAATCATGACGTAGATCATTTCATAGCACTACATTCAACAACACTAATCATGACGTAGATCATTTCATAGCACTACATACAAAACACTAATCATGACGTAGATCATTTCATAGCACCACATACAACAACACTAATCATGACGTAGATCATTTCATAGCACTACATACAACAACACTAATCATGACGTAGATCATTTCATAGCACTACATTCAACAACACTAATCATGAGGTAGATCATTTCATAGCACTACATACAACAACACTAATCATGACGTAGATCATTTCATAGCACTACATACAACAACACTAATCATGACGTAGATCATGTCATAGCACTACATTCAACAACACTAATCATGACGTAGATCATTTCAAAGCACTACATTCAACAACACTAATCATGACGTAGATCATTTCATAGCACTACATACAACAACACTAATCATGACGTAGATCATTTCATAGCACTATTTTGAGACATGCCGCATCAGAAATTAGGAAACATAAAACATAGGAGCCAAAATGATCAGTAAATTGATCGTGGGCCCTTAAGATATAGAAGAAGAAGAAAGTTGGGAAAAACCAAATTGAAAATTTAGGCTCATATCAAAATAACTTCTGCACCAATTTGAGTTGTCAATACAATATTGCGCACACTTATCTAACCTTTGTTTCTCAGTCGAGCTACGGTCTGAGTCGATTGTTGTTTCGTTCTGTTTGAAGGATTGATCGATGTTGTCGTAAGAACTAAGATATGAAACACTTCTATATATTTTGGTTGAATTCATTTGGTAAGCACGTTCATAGTTCATTTTAAAAGTAGAGCTTCACATTATTTTATTATTATTTTCTTTAAAACCTTGCTTATTGACTTGCTGCCAAGCGCAATATTTTACCTATCTTTTCGTGCGCAATATTGTCCCCATCTTTTCGCCAAGCTACTCTTATTGAACTTACTTAAGCAAAAACAACATGCACCTTGTCTGGGTTTTGACCCTAACGGAACCAGGGACAAAACACGCAAATGACGCCAGGGTGCTATCTCTCCAAATTAGCTGCAGCGTTCATGCAGAAAGTCGTTGAATTATTTGGAAAGGATAAATGCAGGCTTCAATTGCTTTACAAAGATTGAAATTAAACATTATCAAGAAATGTGTGATACTATTACTTTATAGTTTATATTATAGACTCCCTAATTTATGTTAGGAAATATTTCTTTTCAAAATGATAGTTTTATGTTTGTAAAATAAACTCTGACTTAAAAAGTAGTCTACGATTAATACATAGACCTACGCTCTTTAGGTCTCTTTTATAGTTTTATATCATGAACATCAATGTCCAAAGTTTGTTGACCCCTCAGCCCGCATCCCGGAATTTCCTGCGAGCGCCATGTGTAGACAGTTCATAAGCTTGCTGGCAGACAGCAGCAAGGAAGACAGTTAAGTTCATCAACTTGTTGGCAGACAACAGCCAGGAAGGCGGTTTACAATTATGTCAACGGACAACGGCTAGGCAGTCAGTTCATCAACTTGAAGGCAATGGCTAGGAAGAAAGGTCATTAGTTTTTTTCTGCAGACAGTAGCTAGGAAGACAGTTCATCCGTGTGTTTGAAGACACTCCCGCCCTTAAGTAAATGTAATTTATGCCATGATTAATTTTTCATTAATCTTTGGTGGTCAAAGTGTTGTGGACAAGACTACGGCCGAAGAAGGGCAGACGTTCACCATTACATGTGAACACCTCCTTGTCAACGGGACCGTTCCGAATTGCATGTTTGCTTTCTCAGACGTGTACAAATGGACCGGTCCTCAAAGCGTCAGAAAATTCATTTCGCTTCCCGACAAGCTAGTTATAGACGTAAGATCATATTGTAAATTACTTGCAAACAGTCTGATTTCAAATTACTGCACGCCCAGCTTCTCACGTAATGATCAAGTAAAAATAATAAGTGTCGGAACAACCATTTTTAAAAACGTAAAACAAATTATACCTCATATATCACCCCCTATTTTATAGTGTAAAATCTCATCAACCATATAACAAAACATTAAACGTACTTCACAGTGTAATAGATAGCACATACATTTCACTGTGTAATGCATCATACACATAACTATTCATCGGAGTAAAAAATCAATTTTTGACATGAAATTCCTGAAGGTTGGACAAAAGATTGCAAGAACCCAAGGCAAAGTTTAGGCGTCACCCAGTTTCAGTGCAAGCTAGTCGTGAGAGAAGCAAAGGTTTCCGACAGTGGCCAGTATGGATGTGCAATAGGCCTTCTTTGCACGCAAGGTCATGGCACTAATTTTTATGGCCTCTCCGATGTTGTTGTCACGAAACAAGTGTAATATGTACTGTTTTGAGTGTCGTTTGTTCCTATAAGTCTCGATGTTTCTTATGTTACTATAAGTCTCAATGTTTCTTATGTTCCTATAAGTCTCTATGTTTCTTATGTTCATATAAGTCGTTTCGTATGTTCTTATAAGTCTCTATGATTCATATTTTCCTATAAGTCATTAATAGTGAGGTCCTAATGCGTGCGAATACCCAAAGCATGTTCACAATCCTTAGTGAAAGACGCCTGAGATGGCTAGGTCATGTTAAAAGAATGAATCCCGGCCGCATTCCGAAAGACCTCCTATATGGTGAACTTGCTTCGGGAAAGAGGAAAATAGGTCGCCCACGTCTGAGATTTAAAGATGTATGTCAAAGGGACATGAAAGCAGCCAAAATACATACCAGTGACTGGGAGTAAAAGGCAGAAGACCGATCTACGTGGCGCACAGTTGTCAAGGAGGGCGTCATGGTAGCCGAGGAGCGAAGAATGGTAGAGGCTGCAGACTGAAGGGCTAGGAGAAAGGCCAAAACATTTAGTAGCACGGCACTCATGTGTATAAGTTGTGGTAGAGACTGTAACTCGAGGATAGGACTGCACAGCCACTCGAGAAAATGCAACCCAACCCAACGGTGATGCACCATCGTCTCACGAGACGGAAGGATGCCGATGATTATGATTCTTATGTTCATAAAAGTCAGTATATTTCTTATGTACCTATTCGATGTTTCCATGCGTATCATAAACATTTCATACATTTTAAATTGATATCATAGTAGAACATGCATGTTCTTCATGTAAGATTCTATCATAAGATTAAATACAACAATGCTAAGTTTAACAGATACGATCATAGCACTACATGCAACAATACCAATCATGGCAGATACTATGACAGTACCACATACAAAAGTAACAATCGTGACAAATACTTTAGAGGCATTTGTTATGTATGACACTTTTTTCCCGTGCGTGAACTTTGCTTGAACCCTAGCACACGCTACGTCCATAGATGGGCGTAGCCTATTCCTTTGATGTATCTTGTTTCTACCGCCTTTCCAATTAAACAGGGTCTCCTAGTATTTTGTAGAATGTTTGCGATTGTTCTAGAAATGTAAACAAATGCTGAGTAGCTTCTGGAAGGTAGGGCTTACGCGTCGGTAGACCCACATGTATATAAGGGATTGACAGATACGGAGAGACGGAGATTCAGATAAATATTTTTAACTTTACGAGGCATGTATTATTCTTTGTGAATTTGTGTGCTCATATGTGTTTATTTCGCATTCATCATTATTCATTGGCACATTGTATTAATTGTGTACGGTAAAAGATCTACCAGATTTTCAGATGCTCTGTACGTTGATGATTCGTAATTATATTTATTTTGTTTTGTAATAGTATTATTACAAAATTAAATCTTATTAATTGTAATTGGTACTGTTTTGGGGGTCGTAATTTTGCTATTGCATTTCTCTATGATATCGTCCTTTGTCAGGCACTGTTTGAACGAGCCATACAATTAAAAATAGGAGATTAATTTCTTACCAGAGAAGCCAGGGCGTAACAGCATTGCATACAAAACAACGATAATGGGAGGTAATTTAATGGCACCACATACAAAAATAATCATCATGTTAGGTAATATGTTAGCAATATACAGAAAAATTCGAAACGTGGCATATATTGTTTTATTGCACTTTATGGATGCCAGTCATGACCAATTCTCTCACGCTTCTACATACAAAAATACTAGTAGTACATATACTGTCACATAACACTCAAAACAACAAGAGCAACAATGACAGAGTCTATCACAGCTCTACAAACAACGACACGAATCATGAAATATATTATCATTGCAATGAAAATACAAGAATAATTATGACTACTCTATCATTGCACCACATTCAACAATACTAATAATGACATATATTATATTATAGTACCACATACAACAATTGTAATCATGATAACATTTTATCACAGCACTGCATACTGTTGTACTACTTACAACAGTACTAATCATGACATATATTATATCATAGCACTACTTTGAGACATCCCGCATATTCTATAAACAAAACCACATTGAAATATAGGCTTAAGTCAAAAATAACTTCCGCACCTATTGGAACAGTCAATACAAAGGTGCGGAAATGTATCTAACATTTTGTCTTTCTCCAGAGCCACTGTCTGTGTCGAAAGATGTTTCATTCTGTTTGAAGAATGGGAGTCGCTTAGTCACTTCCTTGTTTGGTCACGTGATGTGAGTAAGCCATCACTAGGCTGCTACACACAACAAAAGATACTTCATCAGTGCTTCCCCAATGTCATGTTAATTAAAAATGTTACCTTTCGTAATATTATGGAATGCAAGCGTTTTTTAAATGAAATACATAAATGTGACAATAAATATACGTCAGTTATAATTAAAGGAAGAAAGTTATTTCAAGAAAAATTTGTGAGCGATATTCGATGGGAACTATCAATACTATTATCGGCAGGATGTTGTTGAGCTCCGTGCGTCCTCATGACGTCATTTGCGTTTTTATTCAATATTGATGCAGGAGTCATTCCCCTTTGTTTATTTTATTGTTAATTTTCATTGGACGAAATGTAGTGTAGTCGTAGTGTGTAGCGGGCTACTGTTGTCAAGCACCTTGTGTTGTATACAGTATACCGGAAATCTTACTCGTTTTTACTCACATCACGTGACAAAATAATTGACTAAGCGACTCCCATTGATCGATTTTGTCTTAAGAGCTAAGTTTATGAAACACTTCTATACATTTTGGTTGAATGTATTTGGTAAACATGCCCATACTTTATGTTGTAAAACGAAAGCTATATATTAGTTTATTATTGTTTTATTTAGATCTTTGCTTCTGCCCGAAGTTTGGATTGGGGAAGAACTTAAAGGAAATATCTTATTAGAAGGATTGGCTTCATCAGTCAATTCTAAGTCAATACTTTCTGTATTTATCAGTCGAATGTTCAACAGATTGTCAGCAGACATTAACTAGAAGACTATCTGGACTATCTTCAGACAGTGGCTAGGAAGATAATTCATCGGTCTATATGCAGACTGTGGCTATCTTAACTGATAACTTAGAAGAGGTAATCTACCACTTCAGCGTTGGCCAAGAAAAAATCCAGTTATTCTGATTGGAAGGGCTATTTAAACAACTATTCTTAAATTGGAGTCTGTAAATATTTTTGCTTCTGTATAGAGGCTATAAAGTTATATAGCACAATACTAATACATTTAAATACTTATTACTGCCAAGCTACCGATATGCCAGGAAGAAAAAGAGAACACAATTATTATTTTGTTTGATCCAGATAACGCGGATGTCCACACACAGAATGTTGAAAACGTGAATGCTCACAAAGCGTAAACGGAACAGACAGTTTGGCACAAGATGCTCCGGTGATCTTTCCCCTTCATATTGACCTGGATTCATGCACCACAACCGTTTTCGTGGAAATTATGTTTTTTAAACTTCATTGTCAACTTGGGGGAGAACTATGCATAATTCCATGTTCACACATTATCTACTATTTCAAAAAAAAAATTGTAATAGTTTTTCTAATTAAAAAAAATTAAAAATGGTCTATTATTATGGGAATGAATAAGTACAACCAATGTCATTAAAAATTATATAAGAATAGTTGTTTAAATAGCCCTTCAAACAGGAACAGCAGGGTTTTTTCTTGGCCGACGCTCAATAGGTAGATTACCTTAGAAGATTACTTTTAAGAAATAAACCAAAAAATAAAGCATAATACGATTGAAGTGCCCCTTGACCTACCTTATCCCTATCCCTATCCCTATCCCTATCCTAACCCCAGGAAATTCTAACTCATGCCATTATCAATTTTTCCCTAGTCTTTGCTGGTCAAAGCGTTGTGGACAAGACTACTGTCGAAGAGGGGCAGACGTTCACCATCACATGCGATCACCTCCATGTCAACGGGACTATTCCAAGTTGCAGATTTTCTATGTTAGACGTCTATGAGTTAACTGTTGATGGAATCACACAAAACATCATTTCACTCTCCGATGGTGAAATTAGTAATGTAAGTTCGTATTTCAAATTCATCGTAATCGGCCTGATAAAAAATGACTGCACGTGATGCTTCTCATTCAATGATCACATAAAAATAATAGGTGTCGGAAGAAATTCGTTCCTAACGAAAAACAAATTATGGTTTTATATACCAGCCGTATCTTATAGTGTACCAACACCCATCAAATAAAGCATCAGACATATTTCACAGTGTAAGAGATACACCACCTAACAAAACATAACACCCATCAAATAAAGCATCAGACATATTTCACAGTGTAAGAGATACACCACCTAACAAAACATAACACCCATCAAATAAAGCATCAGACATATTTCACAGTGTAAGAGATACAACACCTAACAAAACATAACACCCATCAAATAAAGCATCAGACATATTTCACAGTGTAAGAGATACAACACCTAACAAAACATAACACCCATCAAATAAAGCATCAGACATATTTCACAGTGTAAGAGATACAACACCTAACAAAACATAACACCCATCAAATAAAGCATCAGACATATTTCACAGTGTAAGAGATACAACACCTAACAAAACATAACACCCATCAAATAAAGCATCAGACATATTTCACAGTGTAAGAGATACAACACCTAACAAAACATAACACCCATCAAATAAAGCATCAGACATATTTCACAGTGTAAGAGATACACCACCTAACAAAACATAACACCCATCAAATAAAGCATCAGACATATTTCACAGTGTAAGAGATACACCACCTAACAAAACATAAACACCCATATCAATGTGTAATACATCACACACATTTCACACTGCAAAACATCACACACATTTCCCTGTGCAAAACACCAAATCACAATTCACTGTGCAAAACATCACACACATTTCACTGTGCAAAAATTCACACACATTTCACTGTGCGATTCAACACTCATATTTCACTGTGCAATACATCACTCACATTTCAATGTGCAATAAATCACATACATTTCATGGGATTTTCAATCAAGCGCATTTCACTGTGCAATAATTCACACATGTTTCACTGTGCAATACATCACTCATATTTCACTGTGCAATACAACACTCACATTTCACTGTGCAATAATTCACACACAATTCACTGTTCAAGATAACACTCACATTTAACGGTACAATGTATCACCCAGATTTCACAGTGAAATGCATCACACACATTTCACTGTGTCATACATCACACATATTTCACTGTGCAGTACAACACTAACATTTCACTGTGCAAAACATCACTCACATTTAACTGTGCAATACATCACTCAAATTTCAATGTGCTATACATTACCTTTAAATTTCACTGTGCATAACATCATAACATCTCGAACATTTTACTGTGCAATAATTCACACACATTTTACCGTGCAATACACTTATAACATTTCACTGTGCAAAATATTACACACAATTCACTATGCAATACATAATACACACTTCACCATTCAATAATTCACACACATTTCACTGCGCAATTCATCAATCACATTTCACTGTGCAATACATCACACACATTTCATTGTGCAATTATGTACACACATTTCATTGTATAATACATCATTCAATGTTGACTGTGGAATGAAACCCACAAATTTCACTGTGCACTTCATCACACACATATTACTGTGCAATACATCACTCGCATTTCACTCTGTAATACACCACTCACATTTAACTGTGCAATGTATCACTCACATTTAACTGTTTAATACATTCATACATTTTTGACCCTTTATTAAATCACGCCCATTTCAATTTGTAATACACCACACACATTTGACTGCGTAATACATCACACACATTTCACTTTGTAATACACCACACCCATTTGACTGCGTAATATATCACACACATTTCACTTTGTAATACACCACCCACATTTGACTGCGTAATACATCACACACATTTCACTTTGTAATACACCACAAACATTTGACTGCGCAATACATCACACACATTTCACTTTTTAATACACCACACACATTTCACTGTGTAATGCATCACACACATTTCACTTTGTAATACTACACACACATTTCACTTTGTAATACATTACACAAACCTTCAATTTGTTATTCATCAAACACATTTCAATGTGCAATACATCACACGCATTTCATTGTGTAATACATCACTCATATTTCGCTGTGCAATACATCACACACATCGCAATTTGTAATACATCACACACATTTCACTGTGCAATAGCTCACACAGATTTCTCTTTGCAATACATCACACATATGTCACTTTAAAATGCCTCAAACGCACTTCACTGTGTAATACATCACTCACGTTTCATTTTGTAATACATCACACACATAACAAAACATCAGTGTACCAGGTAATATTAAAATATTAATTTTGTTTAGGTCCACATTCCTAGTCATTGGACGAAAGATTGCAAAAACCCCAAGCATGACTACGATTCCACACATTATCAGTGCAAACTAATTGTAAACGACGCCAAGGTTTCTGACAGCGGTCAGTATGGATGTGAAATTTCAGTTTATTGCATGGAAGGTGATACCATTACCTTGGCAGGCGTCTCCAAAATTGCTGTCACAAAAGGTAAAGTATGAAAAGACTGTATTTTCTAAGTCACTTCAGTTAGTATTGATTGCATTTTGTGTCACTGTTTGTGTGACGCGTTTGTGACATCTTTGTTTTGAGACTGTAGTTTAGCATGGTGACATCTTTGTTCTGAGACTGTAGTTTAGCATGGTGACATCTTTGTTCTGAGACTGTAGTTTAGCATGGGGACATCTTTGTTTTGAGACAGTAGTTTAGCATGGCGAAATCATTGTTTTGAGACTGTATTTTAGCATGGCGACATCTTTGTTTTGAGACTGTAGTTTAGCATGGGGACATCTTTGTTTTGAGACTGTAGTTTAGCATGAGGACATCTTTGTTTTGAGACTGCAGTTTAGCATGGGGACATCTTTGTTTTGAAACTGTAGTTTAGCATGGGGACATCTTTGTTTTGAGACTGTAGTTTAGCATGGGGACATCTTTGTTTTGAGACTTTAGTTTAGCATGGGGACATCTTTGTTTTGAGACTGTAGTTTAGCATGGGGACATCTTTGTTTTGAGACGGTAGTTTAGCATGGGGACATCTTTGTTCTGAGACTGTAGTTTAGCATGGCGACATCTTTGTTCTGAGACTGTAGTTTAGCACGGGGACATCTTTGTTTTCAGACTGTAGTTTAGCATGTCGACATCTTTGTTCAGAGACTTAGTTTAACATGGTGACATTTTCGTTTTGAGACTGTAGTTAAGCATGGTGACATCTTTGTTCTGAGACTTAGTTTAACATGGTGACATTTTCGTTTTGAGACTGTAGTTAAGCATGGTGACATCTTTGTTCTGAGACTTAGTATAGCATGGCGACATCTTTGTTCTGAGACTGTAGTTTAGCATGGGGACATCTTTGTTCAGAGACTTAGTTTAGCATGGCGACATCTTTGTTCTGAGACTGCAGTTTAGCATGGCGACATCTTTGTTTTGAGACTTAGTTAAGCATGGGGACATCATTGTTCTGGGACGTAGTTTAGCATGGCGACATCTTTGTTCTGAGACTGCAGTTTAGCATGGGGACATCTTTGTTTTGAGACTGTAGTTTAACATGGGGGACATCTTTGTTCTGAGACTTAGTATAGCATCGCGACATCTTTGTTCTGAGACTGTAGTTTAGCATGGGGACATCTTTGTTTTGAGACTGTAGTTTAGCATGGGGACATCTTTGTTCTGAGACTGTAGTATAGCATGGGGACATCTTTGTTCTGAGACTGTAGTTTAACATGGGGACATCTTTGTTCTGAGACTTAGTATAGCATCGCGACATCTTTGTTCTGAGACTGTAGTTTAGCATGGGGACATCTTTGTTTTGAGACTGTAGTTTAGCATGGCGACATCTTTGTTCTGATACTGTAGTTTAGCATGGGGACATCTTTGTTCTGAGACTTTGTTTAGCATGGTGACATCTTTGTTCTGAGACTTAGTTTAGCATGGGGTCATCTTTGTTCTGAGACTGTAGTATAGCATGGTGACATCTTTGTTCTGAGACTTAGTTTAGCAGGGCAACATCTTTGTTCTGAGACTTAGTTTAGCATGGCGACATCTTTGTTCTGAGACTTAGTTTAGCATGTTGACATCTTTGTTCTGAGACTGTAGTTTAGCATGGGGACATCATTGTTCTGGAACGTAGTTTAGCATTTCAAAATGCTAATAAAATGAGGGCCTTCCACAATGGTAGTTCATTGGAATATTTGCCCTAAACACATGTTGTGAAGTGTTACTGTTCTTCTTCTTCTTCTATATCTTAAGGGCCCGCGATCAATTTATTGATCATTTTGGCTCCTATAATTTTCAATCCATCAAGTTGATCTGCAGCTCATGTAGGGCTTTGGCCTTCCTCACTACTTCTTTCAACTTATACCTAATTAATACTTTTACTGTCCATGTTTGGATTCCTAGTTGTTATAGATCTTTTCCCCATTTCATCCATCCATTTAATCTTCGGTCTGCTTTGAGCCGTTTCCCTTTGGGCTTTGGTGATGTGCCCTTTTTACTCATCTTTCTCTCAAAGTGCCCTAACCAGCGTAGCCTGCACTTTTTTTATGTTTTGCTACTACCGTGGGATCCTGATACAGACTGTACAATTCACGTTTGGTGAAAGGTCGTCTAGGGGTAGGTCCCGCTCCCAAAGGCCAGAGAAAGAAACAACACTATCAGATAAGATCCTAAGCTACGTTTTCTTTCATGCTTCAAAATAACTTAACGAGATGGTTTGAAAAAAAAAGGTATCCTTTAATTATTTATATGTTGTGTTAAGACACAACGTGCACTAAACCAAATATTAACTATAGTGAAAAATGGAAATTTCTTCATCCAGCTTAACAAACCGCTCACTCATTACTTTTAAACTAATGCATCCTGACGTCCATAGCAATTCTTCGCTCATCACAAAAATATCACAGCCCCCGGAAATGCTTCATAGTGCATTCATGACGTAGTTAATGTGTTGGAATATATGGGGAAGTTTCAAATGAAAAACATCATTGTTCACTGTTAAAATCATCAACCCCAACCCAGACACATAACATAAATATGCAATATGACCGTGACACGTCCCCCCTCACGAGTAACGTTAGGTGAAACCTAATGTTTCGAGTTTAAGACGAAACAACGGTCAGTTCGTGTGTATGTTATGGTCAACCTAATATTCCGATTAGAGATTTAAAAATATCTATATTAATGGGAAAAAATAGCGTGAAATGTCTCAAGTAAAACACCATATCTTCATTCGTAAATTTCATTCAACTGTGGCGGGTGGTTAGAATCGATATGACTGCCTCTGCGAGCCCCAACTGTGGCGGATGGTTAGAATCGATATGACTGCCTCTGCGAGCCCCAACTGTGGCGGATGGTTAGAATCGATATGACTGCCTCTGCGAGCCCCAACTGTGGCGGATGGCTAGAATCGATATGACTGCCTCTGCGAGCCCCAACTGTGGCGGATGGTTAGAATCGATATGACTGCCTCTGCGAGCCCCAACTGTGGTAGATGGCTAGAATTGTGTAAAATAATATATTTTTTAACACTATAAATTGGTAAAAATTCATTTTTAAAGTTTTTATTTTTTGCCGATTCGTATACTTACGAAAGTTAGCGAACACTTCAATCGGCGTGGAATAATGACTGTGTGTTTCTGACCTAAACATAGGGCCATCTCACTTTCGGCGCATCCATCTTGAACTTTTAATAAAGCACTCATTTGGATTGGTTAGATTTGTGAACAATGTATGTGTGATGGGTTATACTTTAGGAATCTCCGTTAGACTGAGCAGTCTGTGCTCAGTGTGCTCTGTAAATATTACATTTTTCAATTGGGTCACCCCTAAAATGGTGTCCCCCGGTGCGGCCCGCAACCCCTGCACCCTGTCGCGACGCCACTGTCCACAGTAATTGAAAAAAAAAGATCTGATAGCTTAAGTCTTTTTAGTTCATCAGTAGAATTGCTGGCGGTGGAAAACTTTGTTGACAATGCTCAGATTTCTACAGCAGCGTTATAAAGGCTTATAACTAGGGCATGATGTTTAAACAGCAATATTTACTTAAAGTAAAGCTGTAGTTTTTTTTTTATTTGTTAAAAGGATTTATCTCTACTTACATTATTTTGTAATTTAATAATGAAATACTTTTTTTTTTTTTTTTAAATATTTCCACATGCTATAGCAAAAACGTATTTTATTATAAAAAGAATTATCTGTGTTATCATGTTTACTTTTCTAACAACATTCAAAGTTATAAGAAATATTTTTCTGATATTTATTTAGGCATTTTTATATAGCGCTTACCTTAAAGCTCTAAGCGCTTTACAATTATTAAAAACATGTAAACTATATGACTATCCTAACCCTTTTCTCCCCCTTAAATCAATATTGTCACTAGAGTAGTTCATTGACGGCTGATTTATATGCTGGAGAAATACTTTAGAGGCCATGTGTTTTTAAATTGTTAAATATTTGGCCGACCCTAACATTTTTCGTGCCCATAAAACTATTTGTTTTTCCTCTAAAAATTGTGAAACTCAATCATAAATGTACAACAAAATCTCTATTTACCATTTTAAGTAAATTTTATTTAATGAAATTTGATATACTGATTACTTCATTTATAATTTAACCAAACTTTTGCCTTTGTTTTCTACTTTATTGTGGAGAGTTCGGACCTCGACCGGTTCGTACTTCGACCGACTGATCAAGGGCCAGCTGCGTCAGATCTCACACCAGGGTTACCGCTGGGACGACTGGTTCGGACTTGGAGGCGCCGACTGATCTTGCAGCAGGGTACCGGCCATCTGCCCAGGGTATTTCCCTGGGACGACTGGTTGTTAACCAGGAGGCGACAGGGGTGGGGGTAGTGACCGACTGATCAAAGGGGCGGGCGCGTACGATTACAGACCTGGGAAAAAAAAAACTCTATGGACCAGGGACTTATAAATAGGGACCTCTGGACGGGACTGGACAGAACGCGGCCGGACAGAGAAGCGGACAGTCAGGGAGAGCTCCGACGGTAGGAGAGGAGGGCAGTCAGAGTTGCGAGACGAGAGAAGGTATAAGCGAAGTGTCAGCCTAATAAAGAACAAGACTATAATCATCAGATGTTATCGCATGAGTTGCTTCCTTAGTGAATGCCAGATATAGATTGAAGGTTAGCAGAGAGCAAGCAAGGTTTCCTTACAATATTATTATTATCGGAAAATAACTCTTTTATCTGAAGAAATTTTCTTAAACTTTTTTTCACGCCTATGACGGCACTGAGTGTCGTTATTAATCTCATTACAATATAAACCAATTTTACTTCTCGCAAAGTAATTTTTTTTAAAATATGTTCTTTTTTTTTTTTTTAAAAGGATATTTTAATCCCTCTCCATTTTTCAAAATTAGATTTCACGTATGTAAAAAATTATTGGGCTTTGGTATTCATGGCCATACTTATTTATGTAAAATGTACCCCACCCTTTGTTAACGCCATTGATTTTTCTAAATTGGTAGACATGGGTTTATTTGTAAAAGACAATGTAGCATCTCTTTTTTATATAAATGTAATGTCGTGGGTTTAAAGATAGTTCATCCACGTGACATTTTACACACCCTATTTCCTACCACCGATATGGACGTACCTAAGAAGGCTACTTATTCATCAAATTTATTTCTTCATTCTGAGGCGTATCAAGCGCTGCCTGTTGCAAAATGCAAGTATCGTATCAACCCCCCCCCCCCCGAGATCAATACAATTCAATTTACGGGATTATAGCTCCCCCCCCCGCCCCCTAAACGCAAGCAGACATATTTTTGCACTTCATTTGGTTTGTTATTAAGTGCATTACTTAATGCTATATCTCTTTAAATTCTACTCCCCTGACTGATTCCACCCCACCCACCCCTGACCGATAAACGACGCTGCTTGGTAGCCATCCATGGCTTGACATGTAAATAGACTAATAATAATACTATAAGTATACTTTTGGAATGAATAAAAAGTAAAAACTTATTAAATATATAAAATATAAGGCTAAACTTTTTCTGTTTTATTAACAATTTTTAAAAATGCAATCATTATATTTATTAATTTGACTTTTAAGCAAGGTGAAAATATATTATCTGTTTTATCACGCGCTGTTATTAAACTCAAAGAAACTTTGAGCTTTTGCTAAAAATAGGCGATACTAGCTATGACGTCAATTTGCGTATTTATTTTGGATCAAATTAATTTTATTTTTTATTTCGTAATAGTAACAATGCAATAGCAACAATGCACAAAAACGCACTAAAATAACACATGTTATGTCATTACGGTGTAATTCTTAGATCATAATTTTTTAAATTAAATTTTTTCCATCCCTCTCGTAACTCGAAAAAAATGCTTAAAATAGTTCCTTTCTTGTTATTTTACCGTATTTGTAATTTATAATAGTAATACTTAAACATTGTTATTTATTTTTTTACACATTTAAATTCATTCAATTTCCGCAAAATAATAGAAAACGACTATCGTTTTTTTAAAAAGAATCTGAACGTATTCAAATCACTTCGTCTCTTTGGCGTTATGGTCAGCCTGGCTCATTCTTATATAACTATTATCAGACCGACCTCTAACACTACCCTCCAGAAAAAATCAGTTTTTCCTGATACTAATATAACGGGGGAAAGAAAATCATGATTACTGCGCTAAATGAGATGCTTTAAAAAAATATATATTTCAAGTGGGTTTGGTGCGTGATATTAATCTTTTCTCTTCTAAAATAATTGGTGAAAAAATCTAAAATGTAAAGGCGGGTGGGTCGTTATATACATCAGGGGCGGAAAGAATGTGAGGTTGCAAGCCTTGTGAGAGGGGGGGGAGGGTGCACTATTGAGTTTCTTATAAAGTGCGATACTTGCAAGCATGTTTTGTCAAAATTTCGGCGCCCCCCCCCCCCCCAACTGACCGATATTACATTTAGAAATGGATTTGTTCGAAAAAATTTGATTTTAGAGTTTGTTTAATTGACAATTTCCTTTTCATTTTGAATAGTACCATTCGAGAGAGGGAGGAAGGGAGGGAGGGAGCGAGGGAGGGATGGAGCGAGGGAGGGATGGAGCGAGGGAGGGATGGAGCAGGGAGCGAGGGAGTGAGGGAGCGAGGGACGGAGCGAGGGAGGGAGTGAGCGAGGGAGGGAGGGGGAGCGAGAGAGGGAGGGAGGGTTTCCAGACGACAATCCATATATCCACCATTGCAAATGTTTTACGTGGAAGCTGCCGAAGGAGTGTCAGTAAAGGGAACTCGGTATAAGCTCTAAGCAGAAGGTTTATTGTGCAATCATTTAAACGATTGATTACGCCAGCGAGACGTGGACAGAGTACAACCATGTTCTTGGCAACTACACCCTCTCCACCTACGCTGCTTACGAATGCTTCTCAGCATACGGTGGCAGGACAAATTACCTGATACCGAAGTCTTAAATCAAGCTTTATCATCATCCACCCGTTCTTGAAAAAATGCAAGCCAGAAGGGAAGGATGTGTTCCGAGAATACCAGACAACAGACTACCTCAACAACAGACAGCTAAGACAGCAGACTTGTGCGACTTATGAGACGGATCATGTAGTGCCCGAAATGACTTCAGTTTTCGCAACAGAACTTTGGATGTTGCCTTACTTCTCTCTTTTGTTTGACTCTAATTTTCACAAGGAGTTCGTTTTGCGCATCCTCTTCATTGTGACTCACATTTCACCGCTGTACTCCAACCATAACGGTCATAAGCATTCACTATGCAATACGTACTTTGGATGATAGGTGATAAATAAGCAGTGCATGCATATATGCATTTATGCATTGATACTTTTAATTCAAATTAAAATAAAAGTTATTTCTCAATTTCAGACAGCACTAGAAAGTCAGAGGCGTCCATCAACTTCGGCGAGAAGACAACCATTGGATTGTGCCTCATGATGATCGCTGCGACTCAACTATGAAGGCATCAATGGATTGTGTCTCATGAAAATAGCTTCAACTCAACTGTAATGGCAAGATCAGCTTCTTAATGACTGAAAGACTATTATTTCTTTTGGAAGCTTCTAAATTCTACGTGATTTAACATCGCAGTTTCATTCAAAAAGAATCCAGAATATATGGGCCAATAACTCTACGTGCATCACAACCTTGATTGAAAACAACAACAGCAACAACAACAGCAACAATAAATAAAGAATGTCTCTAAAGCATACATACAGATTTTTTTAAAATTTTAGGCAAGTGAGATTCAGTTTCTTGTATGTTATATAACCTAATTGTTCTGTACCGATACATGTTTTAACAAATTTATTTATTTTTACAGAAGATTCCTTATATTAACAGTTCGTAGCAGTGTACTGAAAACCAGCATTTAATGAAATACGAAAATAAAACCACAAATGTATTAACATGAACATTTTTATATTCTTCAGTATGACACTAACTCTATGAAAATTAGCCTCTATTAACTTACAGTATAATGGTGACAGAAAATATGGTAGTGGTAAATATTGTATACTCAGTATCACATACAAGCTCACACAGCGTATAGTCTCGTATAGTCCGATTCTGAAAGCACCAGGTAAGGCCACCAGGTCCAGTATTTAGTAGTCTGACGTTTCAGAAGAAAAGTCTTTGTATGGCCACGTCACTCACAAGATATCAACATGCTCTGGTTCAATTATGCAGTGGTAGAATATTTCATTGGTGGCGCCCTTCAATGGTGCCATCCTTCAATGATGGTATGCTTCAATGGTTAAATTATTCATTGGTTGCAACCTTCAATGGTGCCATCCTTCAATGATGGTATGCTTCAATGGTGGACTCCTTCAAGAGTATCACTACAATCGTATCGTCATACAGAGTGTGGGTCTGTTGCTGTACAGCTTTAAAAGTAATGTAATATACGGCTTTGGAAATAGCATAAACTACATTTTAGGTCAAAAGCTGTACAAATGTAAAGGAAGTTATGTACACGTTGTAGGATCAGTGCTGTGAAGCTTTGGAAATACTATAATATACTGTACAGCTCTGGTACTATGTAGTATAAAGATGATTTGGAAAGTCTTAGAATTGTCTAACAAATGTATTGCTAGTTCATCTCAACACATAAATATCGAATGCGTGAAACGTCACATGCTCCACAAAATAAAGTATGAGTATTTCCTAAAGCTAAATGTTTTGATATAATAAGTTTCAGAACCAAAAATAGATCATGTAGTCCAGTCTATTTCCTTTGAATCGATTTAGTCAAAGATAGTAGCTGGACGTGAATTTGCCAAAACACGTACTGCATGATGGGAGAAATTTAAGTCCTGGGCTCTGTGGGATTTTTGAAGTCAAAGGGAACGTTAACAATTAATGATAAATGATTCCCAAAAATCAATGGTGGCTCTTAAACTTCCGAGGCAGAGAATTTTTCTTAGAAAAAATTGGTATTGGCTCCATGGTAAATACATGCATGCTTTTCACCAAACTAAGTTGAGGCGTGTCTGTGACGTTCACCAGACACAGTTGGGGCGTGTCTGTGACGTTCATCAGACACAGTTGGGGCGTGTCTGTGACGTTCACCCTACTCAGTTGGGCCGTGTCTGTGACGTTCACCAAACTAAGTTGAGGCGTGTCTGTGACGTTCACCAGACTCAGTTGGGGCGTGTCTGTAGCGTTTACCAGACTCAATTGGGGCGTGTATGTGGCGTTGAACAGACTCAATTGGGGCGTGCCTGTGGCGTTTACCAGACTCAGTTGGGACGTGTATGCGGTGTTTACCAGACTCGGTTGAGGCGTGTCTGTGGTGTTTACCAGACTCAGTTGGGGCGTGTTTGTGGTGTTTACCAGACTCAGTTGGGGCGTGTCTGTGGCGTTCACCAGGCTCAGTTGGGGCGTGTTTGTGGTGTTTACCAGACTCAGTTGGGGCGTGTCTGTGGCGTTCACCAGACTCAGTTGGGGTGTAACTGTGGCGTTCAGCAGATTCAGTTCAGGTGTGACTGTGGGGTTTCAATTCACCAATTATTATACTATTATTTTAGATCTAGACCTTCACATCCAAATAAGTTGGTTTTGTATCCCACTCCAGGCATTTCTCAATGATATTGTACTCTCCCCCTGTTTGAGAGCATTTCTTCACAGTTGCGATTATCATTTCATTTTGTTGGGACGTTGATTTTAGTCGTGATAGTTTGGAAATTGTGGTGTAAGAGAATTAATTTTAGAGTGGGGTGGCAGGCATATAGTTGGGGTTGTGGTGTGAGAAATTTGGTTGAAAGATATGGTGCAGAGATTTAGTTGGAGTGTGTGGTAGTAGAAATTCATTTTGGAGGGTGTGATGGCAGAGATTTAGTTGGAGTGTGTGATGGCAGAGATTTAGTTGGAGGGTGTGATGGCAGAGATTTAGTTGGAGTGTGTGATGGCAGAGATTTAGTTGGAGGGTGTGATGGCAGAGATTTAGTTGGAGTGTGTGATGGCAGAGATTTAGTTGGAGTGTGTGATGGCAGAGATTTAGTTGGAGTGTGTGATGGCAGAGATTTAGTTGGAGTGTGTGATGGCAGAGATTTAGTTGGAGTGTGTGATGGCAGAGATTTAGTTGGAGGGTGTGACGGCAGAGATTTAGTTGGAGTGTGTGATGGCAGAGATTTAGTTGGAGTGCGTGATGGCAGAGATTTAGTTGGAGTGTGTAATGGCAGAGATTTAGTTGGAGTGTGTGATGGCATAGCTGTAGTTGGAGTGTGTGATGGCAGAGATTTAGTTGGAGTGTGGGCTGGCAGAGATTTAGCTGGAGTGTGGGCGGGCAGAGATTTAGCTGGAGTGTATGATGGCAGAGATGTGGTTGGATAGTCTGGTGATCGTTGTGGGGCTTGTGGCAGTGATTAGGTAGTTTTGGTCGTGTTCGGTTAATTAAAGTGCAGCTCATGTTGATGAGCCATATCCGGTATAGGGTAGTTGATTTCCGGTTGCATGTCCATTTCAAAGAGGGGTGGGTTTTCGACGTCATGATCCGTAGTGGAAACATCATCAGGATGTTCATCATCGGTGGTGGCTTCCATTCGGGGACAACATCTCTCATGTACACTAAAAATAGAGTTAAACACAAAATATGAAAGCTTGTGTAAAAAAAAAAACGTTATAGAACTAAAGCTAAATACTTATTAAATAAATGTTGCCTAGCTTCTCATCACTTAATTCGAGACGGATTTTTTTTTATTGTTGATTTGTTTGCCGTTGGTCAATTGATGTAAATGAAATTAGTTTTACATTAATTAACTCTGAAATTTGAGCTACTGTAATTAAAGAACAATATTTTATTTTAGTTGATCGATATATTTTTAACGTTGAACTTACGTTTGGGAACATGTGTGGAAGCCTATAGGAAAATTGAGGGGAAATATATATAAAACAAATTTAAAATGAAACATCACACAGTCAAATTTTGTTCGTTAAAAGTCTCCCAATTTTGTAACAATGAGAAGTTCGATTCCCCCCCCCCCTCCCTGGCCACAACCCATATCTAAGAAAATTGAGGGGAAATAAACATAAAACAAATTTAAAATGAAACATCACACAGTCAAATTTTGTTCGTTAAAAGCCCCCCAATTTTGTAAAAATGAGAAGTTCGATCCCCCCCCCCCTCCCTGGCCACAACCCATATCTACTCAATCATCTCCAACCCCCAAATTTCTCATTAATACCTGCCCCACCCCCAACGATTAATCAAAACCAAGTCAATCATTATCCCTCGCCAATACGTAGCCAACAATTCCTTGCAACAACCTAGCCAACAATTCCTCGCAACAACCTAGCCAACAATTCCTTGCAACAACCTAGCCAACAATTCCTCGCAACAACCTAGCCAACAATTCCTTGCAACAACCTAGCCAACAATTCCTCGCAACAACCTATCCAACAATTCCTTGCAACAACATAGCCAACAATTCCTTGCAACAACCTAGCCAACAATTCCTTGTAACAACCTAGCCAACAATTCCTTGTAAAACCTAGCCAACAATTCCTTGCAACAACCTAGTCAACAATTCCTTGTAAAACCTAGCCAACAATTCCTTGCAACAACCTAACCAACAATTCCTTGCAACAACCTAGCCAACAATTCCTTGACACAAACTAATCAATTATCCCGTATGATAACCTAGTCAGGCATCCCTTGCCACAGTGTAGACAATCATATCTCGGGGTTCACTTACCTAGGCGTTCAGCGACCTAGGGGTTCACCAACCTAGGGGTTTACTGGCCTGGGGGTTCACCGACCTAGGCGTTCAGCGACCTAGGGGTTTACTGACCTAGGGGTTCACCGACCTGGGGTTTCACCAACCTAGGGGTTTACTGACCTAGGGGTTCACCGACCTGGGAGTTCACCAACCTAGGGATTCACTAAGCTAGGGATTCACCAAGCTAGAGAGTTCTGTTTTTAATTTGTTTCACCACCTTTATATAATTACAGAATATCCATTCTGGATGTATGGCAATTCCGGTGTGATCTCGCTCTACAGTGGGATTCCGATACCTATGGGATCCTGATATCGGTGAAATCCAAATCCCGTTGGTTCCCGATCCCTGTGGTTTCCGGTAGGATCCCATTTCCTGGTGAGCCCCGATCCCAGTGGATCCAGTTTGCTTATAAGGACCTGATCCCGTTGGGACCCCGTTTTCAGGTTGGATCCCGATCCCGTTCTCTGTGTGATTCCGTTTCTCGCTTGGGATCCTCTTTTCCGATGGGATCCCATTTACCGATATGATCCCTATTCCTATTCGATCCCCGTTACTCGATGGGGTCGCGTTACATTTTACTCGTTCCTCTCTCGGAGCCTGTTTCTCGCTGGGGTTTTTAACCGGTAGGATTATAAAGGGGATGTATAGAGAAAACCCCAAGCAAAGTATAGACATGAATAGAACTAAACTGACATTCCATTAAGCTTTTAGATACCATTATATATCCCCGTAGAACAATATAGAACAATAGATTATATAAGGAAAATTTAAACGGGGCCCCTGGTCCGAAAGGTGTGGATGTTCTGAGTTCAGTACCCTTCGGTATTTCAGTATGGATAATCAAGTGTATGTGCATTAAGTTTGGTCTACATTCATCCATTGATGTAGGAGTTATTTGTTGTTCATGAAAGGGGGGAAAAAGCAATTTGGTTCCCCGCCCCAAAACGGAATGTCATAAAATTCATAAGCCCTTGAGTGTTCCTTCCTTATAAAGATGGATTATATGTGCCAAGTTTGGTCAATATCCATCAATCCATGTAAAAGCCTTTGTGGAAGGAAGCCACCCA